TTGATCTTAGCCAAAAGGCCGAGAAAGGTTTGTCGGTCCACTCTTAAGCACAAGTGGCCCGAAAAGACGTGGCCGTCACAACTTGGCACCATATCGAAGGGTGAGGAGGAGAAATGGTGCACGGGACTTCGACGCCAAAAGCGTCGCGAACGGTAAGTGTCCGCCGATGAAAGTTGACCGTGTGATCCACACTTGCGAGCCAAGGCATCCCTAAAATGATGTCCAAGTCCATGTCCAACACGTCAAACGTGACCGGCTCGCTTAAATGTGGCCCGAAATAAACTGGCATGGGCTCGATAGAGCGATCAAGAAGTTGTTGCATCCGACCGTCCGCCATCTTGACCGCCATAGAATGTGGCTTCCTTCGAACTTGTGCGCCAAGGCCGGCCCTTTGTATAAAGGGCAGCTCATGAAATTGCGAGTCGCGTTGCTATCCGGCAAAGCGCTGCAGGACACTTGCCAAACTTGGATACGGTGTCGGGCTTTCCTAGCTCCCTACGGCTCGTTGAGCCTGCGAGGTATTTCCTGCCGTCAGGAGATCGCCCGTGCTGCCCCGAGTAAGCCCCCTGTCGCCGACCGGGTTCAGCCGCCCGACAGTCCCCTTGAATACCCCCTCCCTCTCTATTACCCTTCGAAGGGCTCCCAGAGGGTCTTGGCGACGCCGAAATTTTGGAGCGGCCGAGGCTCGCGGCGTAGCGTGTCCGCAATAACTACCGACCCCGCCGTCTCCTGCCGCCTGGCGTTCGCGCGAACAAGATCCGTGCCGAGGCTTTCGAACACGAACTGGTTCGACCTTAAGTGCTTTCCCAACGGTCAGATTCGGAGCTCGGTCGGGCTAGGCCCTAAGCTCTCCAGGTTCAGCGGTCAGTTCGACCCCTAGAAGGGCAAGACCTCAAGTTCACCAGGCTCGGAAACGAGAACACGAACCGGACCCAAACTGCGAGAACCCAGTTCACCGAACTCACGCGCGAGCCCGAACCCGAAATGCAGAGGGACACAAGCTCACAGAAAAGAGTGCGCAACTGCACCAAGCTCAAAGGCGAGCCCGAACTCGAAAAGCAGAGGAACACAAGCTCACATAAAAGAGTGCACGACCGCACCAAGCTCGAAGACGAGCCCGAACTCACAGAAAAGAGTACACAGTTGTACCAAGCTCAAAGGCGAGCACGAACTCGAAAGGCATAAGCTCACAGAAAAGAGTACACAACTGCACCAAGCTCAAAGGCGAGCCCGAACTCGAAAAGCGGAGGAACACAAGCTCACAGAAAAGAGTGCACGACCGCACCAAGCTCAAAGACGAGATTGAACTCACAGAAAAGAGTACACAACTGTACCAAGCTCAAAGGCGAGCACGAACTCGAAAAGCATAAGCCCACAGAAAAGAGTACACAACTGCACCAAGGTCAAAGGCGAGTTCGAACTCGCAAGTTCACAAGTGCTTCAGAAACGAGTGCACAAGCTGGTCCTGAGCCAGAAACCGAACATAGTGAATGGACTTGTCGGACCGATCGCCCATCTCCCTCAGCGGCTGTCTCCTCGCTCCTTCTCTAGCCCCTCTTTCTCTCTCTCTCTCTCTCTCTCTCTCTCTCTCTCTCTCTCTCTCTCTCTCTCTCTCTCTCTCTCTCTCTTACCCCCTTCGAGTCTCTCTCTCTCTCTCTTTCTCTCTCTCTCTCTCTCTTACCCCCTTCGTGTGTCGCTCTCTCTCTCTCTCCCTCTCTCCCTTTCTCTCTCTCTCTCTCCCTCACTCTTCTTCTCTGCGTCGATCGCTGGCGCGCTCGGCAACAGGCCCTTAAACCGCGCGTCGCCGCTCTGAACCTTCCGTGTGCGAGCCCCACCGCTCCGTGTCGTCGCCGGAACGGCTGGCTATGGCTTCCTTCCGGCTAACTCGACCCGCTCCCGTCTTCCCTCTTCGACCACCGAGTCGAAGCTCTTCTGAACCTGGCGTTCACGACGAGCGCCCTACTGTGAGTCCCTAGAGTCCAAATCACATCGCGGAGCGCCCCCAGCGTGCATTCCGCTCTTGCCTGCAAACCTCCCTGAGGACAACTTCCCAGACGCAGCGCGCCCGATTCCCCGTGCGAGTCCCCCACCCCTTCTCCGCATCCGCCGTAGCGCAAGGAGAGATCTAAGAGGTCGGGCAGGCGTGTCCGCCGAGTGCGTCCGATCCCTCCCCCACGTGAGATCCCGGTCTTCGTCACCTACCTTCTCGTAGCGTCTCGTGAGCGTCTAACCCTGGCGCCCCCTGCTATGGCTCGTCACCACACCTCCCCCCTATCTCCCCTTCCCCTCCTAAGAAGCAGCGAGTGCTCCCGGAGTCGCCGAGCGCCTCTCCCAGTCGGTAAGTGAGCGTACTTCCCTCGCGACCTCCCCCTTGATCTCGACGTATTCGTCCCCCTCTCCTTCTCGGACCTCTCTCTCTTCCTCTTTGCAGTTGCCTCGAGACTGAACGCTGTCGAGCGCGAACGCGTGCCCCGGCTTCCTCCCTCTCCGCGCGCATACCGCTTCTTGTCCTTCTCCTTCTCCCTCTCTCTCCCCGAGACTCTCTCTCGGACTCCTCAACCCGCATCTCTCGTGTCGAACGTTTCCTCGGGCGCTGTACCGTACTCCCGACAGATCCGTGCGCCCCGAGTAAGCCCCCTGTCACCGACTGGGTTCAGCCGCCCGGTAGTCCCCTTGAATACCCCCTCCCTCTCTATTACCCTTCGAAGGGCTCCCAGAGGGTCTCGGCGACGCCAAAATTTTGGAGCGGCCGAGGCTCGCGGCGTAGCATGTCCGCAATAACTACCGACCCCGCCGTCTCCTGCCGCCTGGCATTCGTGCGAACAAGATCCGTGCCGAGGCTTTCGAACACGAACTGGTTCGACCTTAAGTGCTTTCCCAACGGTCAGATTCGGAGCTCGGTCGGGCTAGGCC